GGGTGTCGGTGAATGAGGAGTTTAAAAGTCAGAATGTTTCTCTCCTTCTTTGTACTAAATCATGGATGTTCTTGTAATATGTTTTGGGCCCAGGAAGACCTAGTTGGTCTGAGTCTTGTTGTAATTTGCTTTCTCATTGAATAAAATTACTTTACCTTATTCCAAAAAAAAAAACAAATTAAAGGAGCCCCGATTAAGGATTGCTCCTGGAAAGCACTTTTTGACATTTCAGTGGTGCTTGGTAATAGTAACACAGAAGTGCTCCTGTAGGATGTGCAGCCATTTTGTCTTTAGATGAAGGACAAGTAGGTATTTTTGGCTTCTCATTTCTGTAGGAAGCAGAATGCCTAAACACATGCTTAAATTAGAACCCCAAGGTTCTTCTAAATACCTATGTTTCAAGCGTAAACCCTCTAGTACTTTTCAATCAGTGATGTATACCCCACAGGACTTTATCTAGGTACAAAGTTACTTCTAAAGGGGACAACAAAAAATTCTCTTGTTATGGACAAGTCCCTCCATTTATATGTGCTTCCATGAATTGTTTCCTTCTTTAAAGGTTGTTGAACCTTAAAAGCAATCATAATCACAACCTGGATCAATTTAGAGAATTGGGATATTGGCCAGTAATCCTGGTGCTCACATATTTTGCCTACCACAAATTCAACTGTCACATGTCAGATTCATGAAATAATGTCATTCTGTTTTTATGCACTCACTAGCACATTTGCACTAAATTGCAAGATAGTCAAATTGCCAAGGTGTTTGGTACGATAATGTTTCAAGTTGGAAAATTAGGCTTGAATTATGGCATTTAAATTATATTGGGAATAGATGTTTTGGCATAAAACGCACTGCACAATATTGTAATATAGGGCAAACATATAGGCACCATTAGGAGTGGCATGGGACAAACAAAGTTGAAACAACACAAAATGCATTCCAACACATCCATGCACAGCACCCAAGACAAGATGTGTTCCCATTTCAACTCAAATCTGCTCAACCGAATACATTTGATGTCAGTCCAGGCCTCTAGTATGCCTAGGAAGGAGCAAAATGCCCTCTATGAGGGAGAGAGACAAATAAAAATTATTTGGGGTGGCAATGATGTCTGATCACCCAGATATCTGACACACTGACCTCTCTTAGTAGGGTCCACACCCTCTAGGAATCCAGGTCCAACACTGGACCCTGAAATTCATGGAGGGAAGTAATTTCTTTTTTACCTTTTGTTTTAATTGTCTGTGTGTAATGATGTGAATTTTAGTATTCAGTTCTAAAAGAATACTTCATATACCTGAATACCTGATCAGTACCGGTTACCTGGTAAGTCTAAATCTGGAATACACTATCATATCCAAACCCAGATTTGATCATCATCATTATCAAACCAAGCCTTATCCCAACTATATGGAGTTCACTACATGAATCCTGTTTCACCAGTCTGTTATATTTAATGCCATATTCATTGTTAAATTATTGGCATTCAAATAATTTCTTACTACTTCTACCCGTGTCCTTTTTTATCTACCCCTTGCCCTTCTAGCCCCTTCAATTTGTAACAAATCGATTCTTATATGCTGTTGATGGTCTTCTATGCACAGCAAACCATCTTAGAGTATTTTCCCTCATTTTATTACCTATTGGAGCTACTCCTAAGTTCCTATGAATGACTTCATTTCTGATCCTATCCTTTCTAGTTTTTCCACTCATCCATCTCAGCCTATGCATTTCTGCCACACTCATTTTCTGGACATATTGTTGTTTGATTGTCCAACACTCTGGTCCATACAACATAGCTGGCCTTACAACTGTTCTATAGAATTTTCCTTTTGCCCATTCTACTATAATTCTATGAGCAACATCCTCTTCAATCTCTCCCTTGTTATGGATTGTCGAACCAAGGTACTGAAAAGGTCACTGATAGGTCCCAATTAACCTTATGTATGCCAGGAAGAGGAAAGGTCAACAATCAGCTAGGGGGGGGGGGAATAATTGAACAATTAATCACTTGAGGGCAATTATACCTGGAGGGAATAAGGAGAATCTTGGGACATTTATAGCTATGTCAGTTATGAAAAAAGAAGAGTTTTTGGGCATTTATAACTA